GAAGAATCCCTCAGGAGTCCACAGACCACATTTTGAGAACTACTGTCTGGAAATACATATAAAATACAGGAGATATATTTCCAGGGAAAAGAATTAGGTAGCAGGAAAACTGGAATGACAAGGAGGCCTCTTTTTCCCAACACCCTTTACACCTTGTGAATTTGGTACCCTTTGTTCTATCTCAAAAAATTATGTATTAAAAAAAAAAAAGTTTACTTAATTCAAAAGCAGCTAAGCAGAAATAATGGCTGCTGTGCAGGTCAATACCAGAAAACAAATTTTTAAGAGCTGAAAGTGTTTCCACTTAGGAAGTGGAACCAGGGGATTAGGAGGGGTGGCACGGGGGACTACTGTTTTTCAGTATGAGCCCTTCGGAAATGACTTTTAAAACTATATACAGATATCAATTAAAAAGAAAATAATTCAAAATACTACCCGGAAAAACACTTATAAATTAAGTTTAAAAGATAAGATAAATAAAGCAAATCCCCACCTACAAGTGAAAGAATGGCTGTGAAATAGACCAAGATGTAACAGTAACTGCCTGGAATAATGTGCCTGTTAGCTTCCACTCACATATGAAATATTATTCTATATTTTAATTTTTTTTAATTTCATTTAAAAAGCTAGTTAAAAAGCAATAATTTCCTTCAGACCAGAAAGTCTAATGACTTAGTTTATAGTATGTAAACCTTAAGTCATTTTTTAAAGTGATTAAACCCTCTACACTTTACACACACACTCACACATAAGGTAACACCAAGTAAAATAACCTTTTATTTTTTTCCTCTATTTTCTTTGATCACAATTAAGATCAAATCAAGACTTAACATATTTATTTGAAAAAGAAAGTAAAGTTGATTTATAGTGAATATAATAAATTGTTAAATCTTATGTGTTTATTTCATAAGCAAAATCTTCATACAAATATAAATCCACTATCAAAATCTAATTCAATTTTAGTTTCTCAGAGGATGTCCTGATTCAGGAAAGAAGAGATTATTTCTACATGTAAACAGATAACTGAAAAGCAAATTGGGATTCCCCACTAAAAGGAACCGGCACTCATCGGAGAATGGCTGATTCCAGGCCAAAAAGATACAAGATGAGCTTGGTATATCTTGCTGTGCCAGAAAGAAAGTACTACAAAATAATTATTAGGTTTTGCCAAAAAGACACAGGAACCAGAGCGTTGAGGCTCCCAATGATAAATCTGGGACAATTTAGCATTAAAATAAGTAATGGCAGTAATGGATTATAACCCACAGAATAAAATAGGAAGTACTTAAATTCACATTGATAATAGAGAGAAAAGGATGTTTCCTCCTTACAACAGAATGCCTATTGCTAAGACAGAGGAGATGGAGGCGTCAGTTTTCTAACCATCAAAGTAAAAAGATCAGTACAGGCAAGAATCATCAGTGGATGCTAAATCCAGGGAAACTTGATAAGGATACAGAAGATCTGATGGATATCTCAAAGTTGTCCCCAAAGATTGCTTACTAGATGCCAAGGGGAAAAATGATAACTATACTGTGAAGAAACCAAACACTGTGACAGGTAAATAAAAACTAACATTACCAGTAAGGGGCAAGCTAATGACATGTACTTCCACATCATACCCTGAGAATACAAAACCCCTGGCTGGGTATGTATGACCTGAATCTAATTATGAGGAAACATGAGACAAATCCAAACTGAGAAATATTCTACAAAATATACAGCCTGTATTCCTCAAAAATATCAATGCAATGAAAGACATAGGCTAAGGCAATGTTTCAGATTAAGGAAGCTAATGAGATATAACAACTAAATGCAACCTGGATTGTGTCCTACTGGGAAAATGCTATTATTGGGATAAACTGACACTACTGGAATAGGAGCTATAGATTAGATAAAGGTATAGTATTATCAATGTTAAATTTCCTGAATTTGGTAACCATACTGTGATAATGCAAGAGAATACAGTACACAGTGAATTTTTAGAGACAAATATGTGTAACATATGCAATGTACTCTCAAGCAATTTAAAAAATAGAGAATGAGAAAGCAAATGTGAAAAAATGTTAAACATTGGTAAGTCTGAGTAAAGGGTAAAGAAATGTCCTCAATACTTTTTTTAACTTACCTGTAAGCCTGAAATTATCAAAATAAAAAATTGAAATTAAGGCAAACTGGGATATCAAGGTGAAAACAAGTGATTTATTCTGATGCCTTATAGCATATATGAATAAAGGAAATGAGTACAACAGTGACTCAGACTGGCACATAGCCCCATACAAAATTTCTTAAATTTTCAATGCTTCAGAAAAATGAAAATATTTTTTAAGTAGCCACATAAATACTTAGATGCTGATCCTGCATACCCTCAGGAAAACACAGAAATCCAAACTGAGGGACTCTCCCTTCCTCTAGCAAACCATAAGCTCCTCCTAAGTCAGGCCTTAAGGTCCTGCTCTCTTCGTTGTAACTCAAGCACTGACACGGTACCTGAAATGCAGCACTCATATTTGTTGAATAAATGCTGAATGTTTAGAAAGAGAAACACTGCATTTTATCAAAACTGGGAGGGCGGGGGGGGAGGGGGGAGGAAAAAGGGAGCAGATACCTAAATATGGTATAAATTATCTTAAATATGTTTTTAAATATGAGCATTTCAAACTTCACAAAAGTAGAGACCAATATTATTAATACCCACATGTCTATCACCCCAACACAACAATTACCAAAATTATGCCACACTTGCTTCATCTAACCCTTTTTTGCTATGAAGTATTTTAAAACAAATACTGGACCTCTTATTTCTCTTCCTCACTCTTCAGTCACCATCTCTAAAAAATATGGGCATTTTCTTAAATAAACATAATGTCACAACTATACCTAACAAAATTAACAATTCCTTGGTATCATCATACCCATCCACATTCAAATTTCCCTCGGAGTGTTTCAAAAATGACTTTATACACTTGGTTTGAATCAGGATTTAAATAAGGTCAAAACATTACATTTGGTTGCTACACATAAAATATTTTTAAACTTTCTTTTTACATTGTCCGAAATTATGAGAAAATCAAATAAACCAAACAATTAGCTTACATCTGTAGATACTCCATAATCAAACCCAATCTAATGCCCTTGTTGCTCCCTTTGCCTGCTGCACTAGTCATTGATTGCAAATCAAATACTACCTCTAAAAGAGGCTTTCCCTAACCATTCAATCCACAGTAGAGTCTCACTTCCATTCATTCTCCATTACATGGTCCTATTTTCTTTATGACACTTACCATTACCTAAAACTATTCTGTTTGTTACCTGCTGCCCCCAGTAGAAGATCCATTCCAAGAAGGCAGAGCGCCTTCTTCTCTGAAGATCAAGAATAATGCTAAGAACATGGCACATTCAATCAATACTTACTGAGTGACTAAATAATAATGCAGTACCTCTATTTAAAATATTAGCTCAGTTTAGTACTTCTTTTTAAACATCTGTAGCTCACTCCTCATGTTATGTTAAATCAAGTGCCTGTAGAAACCTGGGCCAGGCTGTTATCAAGAATCTGTGGGATGCATGAAAGAAAGAACAGAGGTGTAAGGCATCTAAATGCAATTCTAATCTTTTACTGAATAGTGTT